CAGAGTCGCGTTGGTGTGCGAAAGCAAGTGGGTGTGGGTGGCGCGGCCCTCGTAGTGGCCGGGGAAGATGGTCTCGAACTGAGCGACACCGTCGGCGTCGGTGAGCTGAATACCGCGGAGGAACGTGCTGTTCATGCCGTCGGCGGCGTAGTTGCCGTTGGTGGAGATGCCGGAGTAGATACCGGTGGCGTTGCAGTTCCAGATGTCGACGGCGACCTGGGGAATGGGGTCGCAGGTGGCGACGTCGACGTACTGGACCTCGAGGAAGACGGGGACACCATCGCACCACTTTTGCTCAATGACGTTGGAGCGCATGTTCTCGCCGACGATGTAGTAGGGGCCGTCGGTGATCTCGGGGGCCAAGACGCAGGAGGTGTTGGCGCTGAAGACATCCTCAAGAGGGGTGAAGATGCCGTTGTTGCTGGAGGCGGTCATGTTGTGGTTGACTTCCTCCCAGGCGGTGAGCGCGTCCGCATCACGACGGTACTTGCGGGCAGCTATGGAAAACGTCAATGGATGTTTGCACAAGTCTCAGACAAATAGGTACTTACGGGTCTTGAGGCCCTTGGCGGCGCGGATGTCCTTGACCTTCTGGGCACGGCGCTCAACGGCGCGCTTCTTCATGGCCTGAGCACCAGCAGTGTTGGAGCAGGCGTTCAGGGAGCGCTGGCCGACGGCGGCGACGTTGTCACGGAGCTGGATGTTGCGCTTCATGTGTTCATGGCTGTGGTGCTCGCCGGGGTGGGCAGAGACGCAGCCTGCGAGGGCGAGGCCGGCGGCCGAAATGGTGGAGATGCGAACCATTGTTGATATTGTCGTAGTAAGACCAGATTTGTAGCGAATGTTGAAGACGATTTTAAGTCTTTTGTTGTAGAAGCGACTGTTGTTGCTGCGGTGGTTGCGGCTGATGGTTCTTTCGATATCACAGATGTCCGGCTCCAAGACTAGTCTTTATACAATTCGATCTTCGTTCTACATCTCCGCCATCTTCCACTATCAACGCGTTCATCTCTACGTGATGTGGACGTTCGATGGAGACTTCGCTCTCATCCGATCCCCTTACATGGGGGAGTCCTCGTCACCTCCCGTCCGGCCCTGCTATTTTTGACTCTTCCATCGAGAGTCTGCGGTCCATCGTCTGAACATCCGTCCAACCAGGACCGCGCAAAAGGTCATACGCTACCCGTTGCCGTCGTGGCACGCAAGGGTTCCGTACTTCTGAGCCTCACATACACGACTTCGTTCCCCGCCAGGGGCGTATTTTCAACTTTTCGAGTCAATGCGTCTCCACGCCAGTGCCTGTCCTTAAGCGTCCTTGACGTCCTTAACTCAGCCTCAGAGCACACGCCAAGCGGTTAAGAAATGCTTGGAGAAGCTTGAGATGGAAAGAAGGTGGTTCTAAAGCGGAACCCGGGGTCGATCCGGAGTGGGGACTGGTCCCGGGAGCGACCTTCGGGCCTCCCACATCCCGTTTCGTTCCCGATGTTGGCGGAAAGACTTTCTGGGTTTGGTTCCTTGACATTTTGGGCCTTCTCAGGTAAAAGTTCCAAGGGGCACCGGATGACGAGGCCACTCCCCACTTGGCGGGTGGCGCCGCTGCGCGTTCGCGCAAGCTTCAATGAGATTGGACTAAATTCCGCTGACTTGAACAAAACATGCTCGACGGAGCTCGGGAGACAGTGGGCTTGAGCGGAGAGACCATGTCAAGCTTGTTTATTTCCCTGGGCCACATCGGTCTGTGGGAGAGCTTTGGAAAGGGGCGGAGAACGCTCTCGCCGGCCCCGAATTTTCTTCCCTTTTTGTCTCCTATGCTCCAGTCAACGCGGAACACTTGCGGAGTAGATGGAAGCTGTGGAAAAAGAGAGCAGAAAGAAGACCTCCTCTGAAAACATTGCCATCCGGCTTAATTGACTTTTGACTTTCAGCTATCTTCATCATTGAGCAGACGAGTTGAGCGTGCATGCATGGTGTGGAGCAGAAAATCTCCCACACTGAAAGAGAGTGTCGGAACTTTTAGGCCTTGCGTAACTTTATTCAAGGGGGGTTCATCTTGTCTCAACGTCCCGCGGCTCAGCCTATGTAAACCAAACAAATATGAATCGTCCAGCGAAGGTAACTGGACCTATTAGTCTACCTCCCTGTGGCCGGCTGCACCGACACAGTGACACGTTGCCCGGGATCCCTAATTCTAAGACGAGACGAAATGAACCTATCTGGGCGCAGTCAATCAATCTGAATTGCCGTCATTGGCTGTCGGGCCAGTTGTGGCCCTCAACCGCAATCGAGGCCTGGAGGGGGGAGGGGTGTTCGGAGTCGTCACTCGACGCGTGTCAGTCATGACTTGTCTAATTCCGGGTAAGGGCGCTCTTTATCATTTCGTAATGCGACACCACAACAGTTCTCAACAGCACCTTGATCTCTCTTCTAAACTCGGTCTCCAGCTAAGCACATGCACCGTTGGGACTAAGCCTTTTCAGTCACGTTTGGAAACATTCTCCGGACGCCGCAGAGAGGACTGGCGCTTGACCGAGGCTCTGTCCAGAGTCCAGACTCCGGTGAGTAAGGTGGAAAAAAACTTGCGCACAGCCAATTCACATTCTCATTTGGATCGACACATCGAATTACCAGTAGAGCCACTTTTGGCTATTTCGCCGACTAAGTGACAAAGCCCGAATTGGTAAAATCTACCAGTCATATGTCTCCATCCATTATTTCCAATATCTCAGGGACAATCTCGAAGCCAGCATCGCCTATTAATTCAAGCGTTTCTCAAGTCCCCATAATAAGGATAGATAATTGTATTGCTTCATGTTTCGACCAGGCAGATCCGGTCTCCGCGTCCAGGCAGATTTGGCTGACCTGAGAGTTTCCATTGTCTAGAACAGAGAGAAGTCGGCCATCCCAATCGACCTCCATCCTCATTACAATATCAACCCTACCTTAGCTTGAACGAACTTCTACTTGCGGCGCACTCAACCACATTGTTTCTACCGGTGAACCTCGACACAGCGAAAAGCAAGTCCGCTGCCGTATGCAGCCTGCGGTCAAGTTCCACCCTCGAACACCCGGGTTCGTGAAAAGTAATAATGGGTACATCCGATGGATTGTCCAAGTTTTTCGACATCACACGATCTAGAAGACAATCGCATCGAGGTCAAGCGCCGATACAGAGATGACATGGACCATCTTGGTGCATAGTGCATTCGCACGAGACTTCAACGATGAGGCAGCAATTGATACCGATGGAGGCATATCGATGCCAGGCGAGCTGAGGTGATACGACATGTGTCACGTAACAAGGATAGGGACCGCAATCCACAAAGTGCCTGTCACGTGCTGTATCACGTGTATCTCACTTACATCCTGCATATAGACCTTTCTCTTTTGTCTATTTCTACTTTGATAGGTTAGGCCACTTTACCACACTCCGTATGCCCATTGCTGTGTGCCATAACTCGTGACAACATGCTGTCTGTGCACATGTCTCTTTACCCCATGCGCGAGGGAGACATGGTGATGAAAGATTGATACTGGAGTTGTCGAAAGATGTTGCTGAACCGTCCAATATGGCTTCGAATGCTCTGCAGCCCCTCAGGACAGGCCAAATGTATGGCCTTTCAAGCCAATAAAAGAGTTTGACTAATGCGAGGCAATCGTCGGTACTGCATTGACATCGTTTGTATGCTAACATGCGGTCGTGATATTCATCTCGAACCCGGCCGTCATTAGAGCACGTTACTCAGGGACATCTCGCCAGCCAATACGACTAAGTAAGTACTTGTCGGGTATAAGCATCCAGGTAGATTGATCGTTTGTGAACTGTTCCCACCACGCACACATGTACTCTTGCTTAGACCGGTGGTCTCCCCGTTCTCCGTAGAGGCAACGGCTTTGTCGATTTACTAATCGTATGGCTTTTGAAAAACTCTGGCTACCTTACCCAAGAGGTCTTCAAGTTCTGGTTGAGATATTCTCAGAAGTGGATCTATGCCGTCAGCATGATATTAAAGCAGCCTAAACGTAGCCCATCTGGGTTTCTTGTAAAAATGATTTTTCTGAGAATTGGGCATGTGCTTTGATAAGTTACAAGGTATGTTTTCCCCTAAGCACCCGTTAGCTTTCGGCCAAATAGCGTCTTTCACGAGGTCCAACGGGAGGTTCTACTCAGTAGATCCCGATGATCCTCCCAGGTGGTATCTTGGTCTTGCCTAGTGCGATCGATATCACTCATCGAGGCGCAACAGTAGGTGGTGCCGCTTAGTGGGAAGTTTTCTGACGCACAGCTTGAAAATATATGATGCAAATTGGTTTTTACATTGGAAATGGCCTTGGCCATATTTTTTCTTGGGTGTTTTCGAATCTAGAATCTTGCACGTGCATGATCGTATGCTTCCCGGCCACCTAAGGCCTGTTCGTAAGGGCTGTCACGTTTGGTGTAGTTTTGAGGCCTCTATCTTGGTGAATGCACACGTGGACGTAGACCTGAACACTTTCTTACATGTACCTGCCTCAATGAGACTGAACGTGGGTACCCAAGCCAATCCTCACGATTGACTGACGTGGCCAGTTACTCAACAGTATTGGACTAGCTATCTCAAATAAGAGTGTGATGCTAACTTCCCCCTTATTTCATCCTTGACTATGTGATTTCTACTTCCACAACTTCTGATAGAATTCAGTCGAAATGCCCATTGGCCTTCCCTGCAGAGCTTATCAGCTGCAAAGCTTCTCATTCATCAACAGAATCGCGAACTAGGAATCCAACTCTTGTGATACAACACCTATCGGAGACTGACATAGGCAGTGATGGCAGCATTTATATCAAGATTTTACTCATTTCCAAGTGCGAGGGGCAGTTCATGAGTAACGATATCCAATTGAGCTAGTTCCCAACGCCTACTCATAATGCAGCGCAAGCGCATGACGCCGAATCGATCTCGCAAGAGGAATCACCCTAGAAGACTGCCAAGTACCTATGCAGACACATAGACCCATAATATTCAAGCCTTTTCCCTTGGCGTGAGATACACATTGACTGGGCCCTTTTCCCAGAGGAGATAGACTTGACTCTTGTCATCCCAGCCCCGGCTTTCCTCCGATAGCTTCATGTCGAAGTTCCAGATCATTCTCGCAAGAATGAGACGCATTTCCGCGTAAGCCAAGCTGTAAAAAGATGCAGCAGATTAGCGCCCGACAATTCAACACGTCATCATGGAAGGCAGAGGATGATGCAACTTACTTTCTGCCAATGCAGTTTCTAGGGCCGACCGAGAACGGTTGGAACGCTTCCTTCTTGTCGCCAGAGAAGCGAGCATCATCGAGCCAACGCTCGGGGATGAAGGAGTCAGGGAGGGTGAAGTTCTCCGGGCTGTGGAAGGCAGGCCAATGCCAGACCTGTACCAGCGTCTGTATATCACCAACTCATCAGCATGATGTTCTTCTCCCCTTGTCAACCCTTCAGAAATTAATAGAACTATGGACTTACTCCGCTCGGCACATATTGACCCAGAAACACACCGCCATCGTCGGTGACTCTGCGGACGATTCCCGTAGGGACGGGAGGGTACATTCGAAGACCTTCGTTCATGACCGCTTGCAGGTACTGGAGCTGCTGCGCGCTGACCATCTCGATCTCTGCCTCGGAGGAGAAGGCTGTTCGGACCTCGTGGGTGAGTTTCTCGAGAGCCTGGCGGTTTGTGCAGAGGTAGTAGGTGATTGCTGACAGAGCTGTTGCGGTAGTTTCCGAGCCGGCGATGATGAGGACGGAGGAGTTGGATTTGAGTTCTTCGAAGTTGAGTTTCTGGTGCACCCGGTTGTTGTTGTTGTTGTTGTTGTTGTATTTAACGCCGTGGCGGCCGGGCTAGAGCCCTTACCGCAGACCTCCCGAAGGGTATATGGCGTGGAGGGCCGTGAGCCAAGGCTACCTACTCTACAGTACGTCGTCTCTTTACATCGTCCTCCAAATCATGCCTTGTGGCCACTACGCGTTCTGTCTGTCCCCGGTTCCCGCTGGTGCCCCAGTTTCATTCTTTCCCAAATCGTCCCTTGGAATCGGGAGGTTCTTTGTAGTCCGCACTCACATCTACCTAGGTGTGGATGCTGCTACCGCAGACAGATCTTCTGGAAGAAGTCCGTCACGCGGAGAAAGGCCTCGAAGCCTCGTGGGTCGGTGATTAATCTCTTGAAGTAGGCCTCGAGAGATCCCATAGGACCTATGGGCTCGGGCATACTGCGAGAGTGGAGGGTCGGCCACCGTTGCCTCCTCGCCAGCGTTAGTCGACAGTAGACCAGGTGGTCCACGTCTTTCGCCTCTCCACAAGAGCACATCATTAGAGCGTCGTCGTGGTTGAAACGTCGGTGATATTGCTCGAAGTCCCCGTGACCCGATCGTGCCGCCAGCAGGTGATGTAACGTAGCCCGCGGCAAGGCCAGTTCAGGAGGGCTGGACAGAGCTGCCTCAAGCCCCAAGTCCGCGTACCGCGGCCTTCGCTCTTTATACCACCATCTCCTGTGCTGGCTTTGTAATTTTTCCCTTGCAAGCCGCTTGATGCCCGCTAGTGTTGCCATTTGACCCATCCGCGCCGGCAGTGTCGTTCCTTCTTTGGCCAGCCGGTCCGCGGCCTCGTTTCCTTCGATGCCCTGGTGTCCCGGGGACCAGTGCGTCCGTATATCAAATATCCTGGCCGCTTCTTGGATTTCGAGGAACGCGTCTTGTGACGAGTCCGGCGCCTTGCCGCGGATGCCTTGTATAACGCTGGTGTTGTCGATACATATGTGGATTGGATGACCGCGATTGGTGAGCAGAGCCCTTCTGAGGCCGGTTCGCGCCCCTTCGACCTCGGCGTCGAACACTTCTGCTAGTCCGAGTCGGCCGCACCCTTGCGCTATGCGTTTGGAGTCTCGGTAGATGACGAAGCCGTACCCCACGGCTCCGTTCGTCGCCCTGGAGCCGTCCGAGAAGACGATCATATGGCTTTCCGGTACTGTCTTTAGCCAGCGCTCGAAAGCTTTCGCAGCCTCTTCTTTG